AGAACTACAACACTTACAACAACAGCAACAACAGCAACAACAAGAAGGACAAAAACAATAACAAGTAGAACAACAACAACAACAACGACAACGACAACGACAACGACAACGACAACGACAACAGCAACAACAGCAACAACAAGAACGGCAACAGCAACGGCAACGGCAACAACAAATTTACAATCCCACGGTCGAGGTTGAAAACCTCCAAGCCGTACGAACCAAATACTGGGGTTCAGACCCCACAAGGTCTGTTCTAGAGTTCAGGACCGGGGGAATTCACCTTTTCAGAAGATCCGAATTAGAATGGGAATCGGCCCTTTGGTGATTTTGAGGGTCAGGGTTTAGGATACATTGAGCAATTCGTTACCAAGAAGATTGTGCTGGAAGGGCTCGGGGTCGGCGCGCGTCCAAGCCGAAGGATGTAGGATTTCTTCCCTAAGCCTTGTAAACTCCTAAGCACCGAACGAAAGCCGAAAGCTTACGTCCGGACTCCGAACTATAAAGACAGAGACCAAAACACTGCAACACAAAAACTGACTGCATGCTTTCGGCTCCGGATTCCCCTCCGCGAACGCCCGTCCCTCAATGCAGGAGGGCTTTCAAACGAGGCACGCGAAGGAGCCCGAGGAAACTGTGAGGGTCTTGAGCCTCTTTCGGATTTCCCAAAGGATCCTGAGTACCTTTGTAGTAGAATGTAAAGCTTCTATAAAGTTAGGAATAGATATTATGATTTGGGAAAGTATAGCCCATAACGGTACCTAGGACCCTTTGGGTTAGGGTTGGATGTGTGGGTGCGGAGTCTTATTTTCTGGTGTCTCCGAATTAGTTGCTCAAACCACGGCTCATTGTTGGAGGGTTCAGGGCTCAGTCGTCGGGCGTGTAATTAGCAGGAGCCACGACAGGAGATGTGTTTGTGTAGAGGTGGTAGAGCTCGCAGAATTTAGGGTCTGGCCTGTAAGTATCTTGGTAGTTTAACCCGGATTGAGGTTTTATTTTGGGCAAGTCCCACCTGCTAAAGCCGCAAACCCCCCTTTAATCAACACCACAAAAACCCCACACCCTAACCCCTAAACCCAGGCCCTATAAGCCCTAAGGCCGAAACCAACCATAAACCCTAAACCTTGCAAGCCCTATAAGCTAGGATTGGGCTTGAGCTGTTCGTACTCAATGGTTTGGGGTTTAGGATGGTTTAGGGATGTTTAGGGTGCCGAAAGAGGCTTTGCCGTCTGCTTTCACGGCTAGCAGCAGTTTGCGTCTCTGTGACTATGCAGAAGATACCTTTGCGCCTCCGCACTGTCTCATGATTCCTTGACCCTTCAAAGCCTAGCTTTTTGAGCATAGGCCTAGAGGCGTTTAGGCAGCTGCTGATCTGGGTGTGTATGTGTATGTTTCGTAGCTGATGATCTCGGGATTGGGGGTCGAAGCTGTGCAGCGGAGCAGGAAGGGTAGAGCCTTGCGTCGTTTATTCACTCTGACGTCCTCAGGTCTCAACACCACCCCGAGACGTAAAGCCCTGAAGCTCTTAAAGCCCTAAACCCTGAAGTTACTGTGAAGGCCTAACACAAGAACCAACACATCCTAAAACCAAAACCATGAAGCCCCCAACCTGGACCCAAAATCCTCAAACCTAACCCTAACCCGAAGCCGCGAAGCTTTTGCAGGATTTGCCAGTTGAGTTGGTGCATCTCCTGAGGGAGATCCTGGCAGCTTCTTGGCTTTGTATCGGGTTTTGCGGTTTTGCGTAACCCCAAACCCTAAACCCATAGGCTTTTAAAGTTCAGGCATCTAATTAGGGGTCTGTGTCTGACGAGCTTCCATGTTTCTGAGTTGTTTATGACTCAACCTCCAGACCCTGCACCCAAAACCCTAAACCGTGGTCTCGGCTTAGGGAGCCATTGGGGCGGTGTGGCAGTCTAGGAATGGTGCAGGCGGGAAGGTTGAATGTCGCTTGTCTATGGGAGATCGGCTTCTGGTGGTTTCGGATCAGTCAAGCTGTTTGGGTGCTAGGCAGTGTTTGGGTATGAGGTTTGCATTTGCATTTTCATTCCTAAGCCCGCCACCCCCCCAAACATCCCTGAAGCCCCCAGACCATAGACCCTTGTGGTTGGGGTTTCGGTTTTGTTGCTGAGGCCCCATGCATGCCGGTTTCGAAAGGATTTTGTGTCACCTCTCCCTGAATTTGCGTCGGCTCTTTGAAGCGGATGGAAAGTTTTCAGAGTGCAGGGTTTCAGAGCTTGTGGCGAATAAAGGCTAATACCTGTCGCGACAGAAAAGAGCTTCCTAGTAAAGGAAAGATACAACTACATGGTCATGGGTAGACCAAACATGCAGGCTTTCTGGTTTTGGGTCAAGAAGTGTAGACTCCGGGGTCCTTGGAGCTCTGTGGAGTTCTGTTTCTTCAAGTCGAACGGCTTTGCTCCCCATCCCTCGGAGCCGAAGCGCTGGTGACGGACCATGACGACCAGTGCTTGTGAATCTCATGTGCGGCTTCTGATTCTGCTGCTCGTGCTGCTTCTGCCCAGCCTCTACTCTTCCCCGCCCCAGACTCCCCTTTCATGAGGATCTTGCTACACTGGGTCCCCAAAACCCTGAATCCCCTTTTGGGGCTCCTTGTTCGTGAACTTCCCGGATGAAAGGAACATTGGCAGCGCCTGCGCGCCGACTCGGAAGAGAGCCTTGGCAAAGCCGAGAAACCCTACATGCCAGGATTTAAGGTTTGTAAGGTTTAAGGTTCAGACAGTTTGACACTCTCAAGGTTGCAGAGTTTTGGGCTCTTGGAGTTTATGGCGGCCCACCCGACTTGAAGCAGATAGAGTCTGTGTAAGATGTGGCGGAAAGTAAAGCACGTTAGGTGTTCCCATATCGTCTACACTACAGGATGACGGTTGACTGGATGACATCCCAAGTCCTAGAAGGTCCTATAGAAGATGTCAAGCGCCAGAGTGTCAAGTTACCCTATTTCTTAAGTCAAGCCCGACAGACCTAAACCTCGCACGGTTTTTGCAGTCAAGCCGCGCCGTCTGTCACCCGAAATCTCGTGCCTCGTGCACACCGCCATGTTCAAGTCACTCCGAATGGCAGAGGCTTCTTGGTGGGGCATTATTAATATCTCCCAAGCCTTGACCGCCAGGTATAGGGTTTAGGATCTGGGGTTTTGGGGTTAGGGTTTAAAGGGTTAGGGCTGAAGCCTTGAAGCCTAACCCAAAAATCCTTCCGCAAAGCCAAAAAAATCCAAGCGCCTTTTCTGAGGATTGCGACTTTGGTGCTGTGGCTGCAGGTTTGGGGGATTTCGGGTTCGGGGCAGCTCACAGTCGGGATTGGAGCTGTGGGATGTAGGATTTATGGGTTTTTGGGGAAGGGGTTTGCTACGGTTTAGTGGGATGAGGTTTGGATTAAGAGTTTTCATGCCGGGATCCTCGGCGTTGGGAGGTAACTGTGAGCTGCGATGCTTCCAAGAATGTCCGCACCCCTCGTTAAGTGTCGTCGTGGTGGCAAGGGTAGAAGCATCCTCCGCATCCTCCTCGCGATCATCACCGCCGCCATCCCCATCAGTTCAGCATCATAACCGTCACGAAGAGCACTTTCGCAATCATCACCAGCCTTGTCCTGTGCATGCAACTATACAACTATGTGAGTATTCTTCTTCTCAATATTGCTGAATCACGCCCTAAACCCTTAGAAAGGCGTACTGAAACCCTAGGCGGTTCTAGTTAAGTTATGTGTGCTTGCGTGGCAGTTGGGCCCACGCCTCCTGTTTCGGCCTGTTTACTCGCGTTGGGATCTCAATCCGTCAGGTCACAACCGTGCAGCCTGCATCCATGATGATTGCATTGCAGAGCTAGGGTTAACCTCTGGGCTCAGGTGTTCGAAGGCTATTAGTTATTAGGAACAACGATTATGCTCAGCCAGAAATGTTATACAGCTCAGTGATGCTGGACTGGCTGCCGTCATCTCCGTGCAGCAAGCGCCCCTTCGACCCGCCAAATCAATCCTTGAACCCCACACACTGCACCCAACCGCACCCACCCCACGCTGGACCCAAGAAATCAAGCCAAGATGTGTCCAGAGCCTATTCGCCGAAGAGACCAACCTGTTGAAGCCCAAACCTTGAGAACTACTACCTTCCAATCGCTTGATGCTGAAGTCTGGACAACAGAGAAGATAGAGAAGTGCATTTTCAGAAGCCCAGGCTGGCTTGGACGAGATCCGCGTGGACTGCCAGCTTTGATTCTGTCTTAGGGTTCAACAGTTACTGATGTCTAAGATGTGCTTGGTTATGAAGGTTAATATAGACGCCTGGGTACTGGAGAATCGGATTCCTTATAGTCATAGTATGATGTACTCCAAATGATTAAAGCCACCTGAAACACAGGCTCTGGGTTTTCGTTTACTGGCTCGGGGCCGTGTCTTCTATCCTGTACAGAACTGATCCCTGATAGAACAATTTAGGGTTTAGGGTTTGTGTGGGCTGTCAAAACAACAACCATGGCATTCCTTTTCGGGGCATGGGACTGACAGGCCATGTTTTTTTTGTTTTCGATTGTGCGGCCAACCCTTGCCCGAAAGCTGTGGCCAAGCCCTGGTCCTCTGGACCCTAGGTGCTTCCTTTCGGGCGTTTTGTCATGATGATAGCGATGACAATGAAGACGACGAGGCTGATTATGCCGATGCATGTATGTATATATATATATATATACAAATATATGCATATATGCAGTGTACTTCTTCACGAGCGATGGGATAGGGGTCAGAAAACTAGCTAAGGGGTCAAAAAGATTTAAGAGATCAAACAAACTGTTTGAGGGATCAAAAAAAGACAGTTCTTCTGTTATAAGCAAAATGCAAGGCGAAGCAAGGAAGGAAGGAAGGAAGAAAGGAAGGAAGGAAGGAAGGAAGGAAGGAAGAACGGAACGATGAAAGTGGGGAGCAAGGAAGGAAGGAAGAAAGGAAGGAACAAAGAAAGCACAGAAGCAAGCGAGGAATGAAGATAGAAACAAGAACGAAAAGAAGGACGCATATAAAACAGCAGGCTTTAAACAACTATTTAAGTTATCAAAAAAACAACTTGTAAGCAAAATACTAGGCACAAGACAAGAAAAGGAAAACTAAGAACTACAGAAAGAAACAAATACAAAATAGAGACAGAAAGACAGCAATACGTAAATAGCCAAATAAAATACAGGAGCGCAATAATTGAGAAAAACTACTAGTACTAGTGGGGCTGCCCCCCCCCCCCCCCCC